CATAAATTAATTACCGAGCTCATTTCTCTCTTTTTACCGACGAAAATAAAATATACCGAGCTCATTTGTCTCTTTTCAGAGTATAAATTAATTTCCGAGCTCAAATATCTCTTTTTTATTAGATTAACAAATTTCCGAGCTCAAAACTCTCATTTATATAAAAAAATATAATTTTATTACAACCCAGCTCATTTCTGTCATTTTAAAGCCAATTAAGTACACCGAGCTCAAATATCTCTTTTTTCCGAGCTCATTTATTATTTTATCCAAAAATAATTACATTTTATGCCGAAATGTGGTTTAGTGGCTCACTCTCATGCTCTCCACGCACCTTCTCCCACAACCGCCCCTAGCTACACAAAAATATAGCTTACTAAAGTAGAAATTAATAAAAACTACTTAGCAAAAAACAGTTGTCTATATTAAAATGGAAAAAAGAGAATATAAAGTTTGTTCTCTTCTGGTTAAAAGGAAGAAAATTGTCATCTTTGGTTATTACCTATTTTACTTCATTTGTGTACCGTTTCAAAAAAAATTGTAAAAGTCGAAATATCACTATATTTCTAAATTAAAACCAATAAGAAGTTTATTATGAGATTGTACATAGCTGCATTGTTAGTATTACCTTTCCTACAGAAACCCTTGCCTACTAAACAAAATGCGATAACAAAAGACAGAATGGACTGGAGCGAAAACAATAATAATAATGATTGAGAATGATTAGATTTCAATTTTTCCTACTACTATGATGTCTACAAACAACGTAGAGAACATACGAAACCTATCATCTACATTGCTGTGTAATGAACAGAAAATCGTGCCCAATAGAAAGTAGTTCCGTATACGCTCAACATTACAGATAACAACACTTAACCAGCATCAGTGGAAAACAAGTCAAACATTTGGTACATGTTAAAATTGACGGGTCCCAGATGAAGCACATCAGTCACTCTCGACTTCGATCGACATTTATGTGCTTTTCAGTCAGCGTCATAAATCATGAAAACAGAGTTTACTGTCATCTGTTAGAATAACAAGACATATTTGTTCTAATAATGCAGCTCTCTTCACACTCTTATCATATGTGAGAGTTTGTTCGAATTTACCATCTCTGTTAATCATATAAAGTTCTTTATTCTTCCACTGATGTGTCAACCATTGTCCATTTGGGAGAGAGAGAAGCCGATATCCGTATTTCCAAGGAGGAAATATGCTGTTGTCGATGATCTTCATTGATCGATCTCGTACATGAAATTGATTGTATCGACCTGGTGCACACACTGTTACTCCTAACTGACTGCCATCAAATGAAAACCGAATATCACTAATCCACTCATTCCGATGACAGGAGAGAGGTGGCTGCCATCGTCTCATCATTTTCCATTCTCCACTCATATCCCACTCTTCAACAACTGATCCATCATGATCAAAACTCAGCAACAACGTTTGATTTAAACATGTACATGTCCAAAGGTCTGCTTTCTTCTTGTCTGACACTTGTTTGATTAGTGTCAGTTCACTTGTTTGAACATTCAATGAATGAAGAGTTCTCTTCGTCAATATCAGAAATCTGTCAAGAAACAATGACCAACAAATACCCCAGACAGTGTCCCCACGCCATTGAACTGTGTTTGTCTCGTGACCAGTTCGATCAGTCCAACATAGTGTGTTTTTATCACAGTAGAGCAAGTGTATATCAGATGCTCCCATCATCTCATAATTTTCATCCACTTTGATCTGTCGCTGAGATCTGTCTTTGAGTTTATTGAAGTCGAGTTGTTTCACTTCACTGTCTCTCTTCTCACTTCTCTGTGGTGACTTAAACACATGACTTTGATGCTCCATTGTTCTCACTTTGATCATCCTCTTCCACTCAGACTCATCACCACTTTCGACGACGATCGTCGATGACATGCCCTTCATATCCACAGTCAGCTGGTTTATTTCACCCATCCATCGATCAAGATCATACTCCACAAAGTCCTCTTCTGCCATTCTCGGTCGAATCTCATCTGCGATTCGTTTCAGTTCCTTCTTCGGCTCAGCAACAATGTCTCGCACTTCTTCTCGTGCACGATCAGCAGCCATCTTCACCTTCTTCATCCACTCCATCTCCCACTTGTCGATCTCATCGAACAGCTTTGACGTGGTGGCATCACATGTCTGCTCCATGTTTTGTTTGAGAAAGTCGTGCTCTCGAATGATGGTGTCGAGCTGCGTGGAGAGTTGTTGTCGATGTTCGTTCAAGTCTTTTCGACAGAATGTCTGATCACATCCTGTACACAATAGAATTCCAGCATGTTTCTGGCAGATATCACACTTCTTTGGTGTCGATGGCTGTTTGGCTCTGGTAGTTGAAGTCATGTCCGATTATTACTAAAAGCAGAATAATGTGGGTGAATTCAGATACATTAACTGCTTGAATTAGAATAATATGAATTTTAGCTCAAATATATTGATTGCTAGTAGGCATTAGTCCACGTGTGACCACCTGAGAGAATAGTGTTAGAAGTCGAGTGACAAATGTGACGATGAATGTATTGATTGTACTTTACCTAATCCGTCTATTTTGAGTGAATGTTGTCGTTCGTATAGATTGCAATGTTGTGCGTTGACGATTATTTTCTTGTTTTCTATTCAGTCGGCTCGTCAGACAGAATGAAAAACGTTTGTACGCAACAGCCATTTCTGTCAAAAATATGTGCTTCATGTTGTTTCACATGTTTATTCAAGTAAGCGATGAAAAGTTTATGTTGTTCTGTAGGTTTTTTCGACAGAACATCTTTTCACGTCATGCACATGATGTAATTCCAGCATGTTTCTGCCAGATATCACACTTCTTTCGTGTTGATGGCTTAGGGAATGTTTCAAAATATATTCCGGTCGGTCGGTTCCTTTTCCTCTATTCCGCTGTTCCTTTATTGCCCAATTATTCCACTATTATAGAACATTTGATTGTATAGTAGTTTTGCTGTATATAGCTTATATACATTCAACTTGATTTTCTTTTCTAAGTGTTTCTGCGTCTTCAAAAGCAGTTAATCGCCATGTATCTAAAGATTATTCATTTGACAAGCTATGAATAACGTAAACTGCCTTGGGACAATTTTGGTTAGGTCCTCAAAATTTCGTCGTAGTTCTGCTATAGTTCGCTCAATTTTTATCCGAGAAAAGCGATATTTTACAGGTCAATAGCGGTGAGTTCTGGCTATCGAGTCATGTAAAAATTCTCTTAAAATTCATTAGCGTTAATTAGTACTAATCAATTTAGTTTTGCTGAATTTTAGCACATTTTTGTACCTGATTTTTGACAGTCCAATTGAGGTGGTGGCTGTA